GACTAATGACTGAAGAAATGTATAAACTACCGTGTATCATAATAAAGAAGGAAAAAATAAGTCGCGCTAGAGTATGAGTTGCCTTTTTTTGTAAAATGTATTTGATCAAATCCAACACCAAGAATAGACATTTCATTGTGAAAGGCAGTTTTAAATAAAAATAGAAAATAGAACAACAGGCTGAATAAGTGTACGTTGTATGACGCATAAACAATTAACTAAGAACGTGCCTGGTTTGTTAACGTAACATATTACGGTAACAGTCATTCCAATTACTTTAGCATATACAGTAGAGCATGCTACAAGTTTACCAAAGAATCAGTGTCACTCCTAATCACTAAATCCAATGAAATGTAATAATTTCACACATTAGTCTCTCCAGAGTTTAAGTCGCACTCCCGGCCAAAGTGACAAAAAGTGCGATTTATAATCCAAATAATACAGTAACTATATTTACTATATCACTAACTAATGTTTATATCAATGGTTACATGAAGAATTAATGTGCAAAAACAGTTGTTTTCCTCCAGTTAATCTTCAATATTTGTTGTTATTGGCAGTAAATTTCAAAGAATTTGCTCAAGAAGGGGTGAAGCTTTAATTGTATGCCACTAAAATGTATCTTGCTTTTCAAATAACTACTTGTTTGAGGTGAAATTGTAACCCTCTCAATCTGTCCATGCATTTTTCTTTTGAGTTTTGCCTGGCATGATTAATATAAACATATTCTTTAAGGAAGCTATTTGTGTATTATACATCACCTTATTTCATTATTCAGTGCTTGTGTTGCACCATAAGGCCAAAGCACTTTCTCGATTGTGATTCTGATGACTCACCAAAACCTTTTCTCAACCTTTTCATGAGACAAGCAGGTGATGGACCTTCCACAACTTCAAATCAAAAATAAATCAAAAAGTCTGGTTTTAACACTAGTTTTACATACTGTACATGCCTTTTCGATAAGGTTTTTCAGACAGAAAAGTGAACAGGAGAGGACACCGTCACTCAGCTTTCAACCCAAAGAGTCAAATTACAGAAAGGAAAGTGCAGTATAACTGGAGTATTACTGCACTTTCCCCATTTGTCCCTGATATGTGATATTAAACTAAAGCCGTTGTGTGCACTTTTGTTGTTTGACAACGAACAAAACCTTTTATCCTTTTCTTTGCACCTGCATGTGAGTAACTTTCCTAAAGCGTTGCTATTTTAAAATTTAGTACAAAGGCTCTTTAGTACAGACATTTCTGGGTGATTGTGACACTTATTTTATGTATTCATAGATTTTTCATTCATTGATTTTCATACCTTTTATTACCATCATTTCCGGACTACAAGCCACTACTTGTTTTACTTACTTTTACTTAGTTTTTTTCACCACTGCGTCATATATAGCGATGCGGCTATATATAATCTTTTACAATTGCATGGTCTTTTTATTCAAAGTCTCAAAGCACAGACATCAAACTATTCTCCCACAGCCCCATTGTTATGATATTGTAATAATGCATTGGTTTTATATAGTACTTCACATGTCATTCAGTCACTTCATACACGGTGGTGATACTAGCCACAGCTGCCCTGGAGCGCACTGACAGAGGCAAGGCAACCAGTATGTGCCATGGGCCCCTTCAACCGCCACCAATTCACACACCAGACTAATTCTACGCAATGAGGGTGAAGTGTCTTGCTTAAGGACACAACAACAGTTTTGCACTTTACAGCCGGCCCACTGTGGCACCTGGTGTTGCTGGGTTGTGGTGCGAAAGTCCTCTGAGGGACAGGAAGTAAATCTCTTACTTATTCTGGGTCAAAATGCTGATTTTCTGTGGCGTGTGCATTTGTGGCAACTGCTAGTGTCCCCTTCTGGGGGACCTTATGGAGTCTCTTCTTCTGCTAAAATATTTTTCTGGTGTCAATTTTTGAAAAAAATACGAAGGAAATGCAATAGCCTGTGTAGCGTCTGTGGCCAATAGGTATACCAAGCCACAAAAAGCTAATGCGCGTGTGTCTTGTCTAACTAATTATATGACATGGTTGCAACCCAGCTGTCAGTGTTCCCAGAGGTCTCCCATCACATTACTAGCCAACCCTGTCCTGCTTAGCAGCAGAGATTTGACAGTATCTGGTTTTCACATGCAGGTATGGCCACAATATTTTACATTTTATGTATTCGATACATGATATCACTCCTTCTTAAACGCTGATAAACACAGAAGCCGTAGTGCACAGTTGTGCATAGTAAGCACTGGTACGCTTTCCCCTCCATGTAACCCTGCTGCTGAAAAGGTATAGAGAACAGATTGGCGGATGAACTCAAAAAAATCAATGTGTAATCATGACCTAACCCAAAAAAAACGTGTGGCTTTGGGATGCCACGTCGAATGACATTACAGGAGCATACAATATTGAGGGGGGAGGGGAGGGGGGTCCGAGTCTGAAAGCGACATTTCACATTGTATTACAATCAAACATTCTTTCACCTTTTCTGACATTAAACATGCTATAGTTGTCATGATTGCTTGCACACTTCCACGCACGTCCCCGCCTGACATTTATGTGTTGGGAAATATAATTAAGATACTGTCAGAATGGAGAACAGGTTGGCAAAGGTGGTGGAGCCACAGGGATTTCTCAAACTGTAACACCAAAGTGTTACATGTCGGGTTAGTTGGGTGGCAGAAAGCACAGTATATCAAACAACCATAAACAAATAAGAATAGGCAAGTACTGCTTATTCACAGAACAGGAAAAAGGGTAAAGATACAATCCTTCAGTTGGAGGCGCAGCAAAACAGAATAGTTTTAACCTGGCTTTGAACATTTTCACGAGTTTGAAACCTGTCTCATATTTTTGGAAGACTTTCTGATTTTAGTTTCATGCTGCCTCCCCATGTTTGGTCCTGACTCTGGTGGAGAGGAAAGTCAGACTGGATTATCTCTAGTGGTCACAATCCATCCTGCATAGCTCCCTCTACTACACTCTGCGCCTCGGCCCATTAAGCCACCAGTACAGCTGTATTAAAACAGTGCATTAAGCTGCTGTTCGTGCAGTAACCCACCTCCTCCCACTCACCTCCTCATCAGTGGAGCCATTCTTCATGTCATCAGCTTCCACCACCATCACCAAGGTCTAGACTGCGGCCATCGCACTTTCATAATCTCCATTCAATTTTTCATATGTCATGTAATATTTCTGCTGAGCTCTAATCACCGAACCATTTTGGTACCATATTATACGATACAAAAACAAAGTTTAGTTGTAAGCGGTAACAATAAACGTCAGGCCAACGTAACACAATAAACATCATTCTAATACAACTTTTGTCTTGAGTCTTTACATGTTGATCTGTGAGCTTTTGCTGAATGTTGAACTTTTGCTACAAAAGTTAAAATCTTTATTATTTAATTATTAATTTAACTGTTATTGTTGTCAGAGATAAAGCCTTTAGCCTGTTCCATAGTTACTCCAAGTACTATATACATATACACAAGTGAAACCATGTATTTTAGATAAATTGATATTTGGGATGTTCAATCAAATAATGACAATTTAGATGTATAGCACAATTTGTGTATACTAGAAAGTGCTTCACAATAGCAATTAAAACACAGATCCATATGCATGAAAACAGCACAGAAGTATTGCATCCATGGGGCGTTAGACACAGATAAACAGTACAAGATAGAATCACAGTTAAATAACGTTTAAAACCTAGTTTTGGACATGGTCATGGAAGAGGCCTGTCTCACAACCTCTAGAAGACTGTCCCTTATTTTAGCGGCATAGATATGGAATGCAGACTCCCCATCGTGAAGGTGATTTCTACTGCTCATTTGTTTTTTGGATTTTAGGGACATAATGAAATCTCTATGATGGAAAATAGGGGCTTATACTATTAGATTGTGACGTTGCCTGTCAGATGTCTGAAGCTAATCAGGGCAAGACTTGGTCAGTATTGTTGTTAGGTCCTTAGGCATCCTCTAGAATGAGCATAGTGTGTGTGTGAATGGTTGATCGTGGGCGGTTCTGTCAGTGTGCCCCAGGGCAGCTGCAGCTACAGTAGTAGTTTATGACCCCTGTGTGTGTGAAGGGAATGAATAATGACATGTGAAGCATCTTTGAATGTGCAAAAAAGCACTACATCAAACTGATGAAATACAATCATTATTATTATTAGCAGTAGTATTTTTATTATGATTACATTATCATACATTGGGCATCAGACATGTCATGTGTACAATATTTGAAGCACCCTACAAGTTGGAAGCCTATCTTATTTACTCTAAAATGCTGCATCATCACCAGGTCGCCTTCTGGACCATGCCTTTGTAGGTTTGAAGCCTATGGCGTAAAAAAAAAAAAAAAATGTCTGAAGTCACTGCCCTCGTATGTGGTTTCAACAGCAGCACAGCACACGCCAGAGACGCAGCAGTCGCGCTGTCGCCAGGTGCAGTGGAGCAAAACCAGTGCGAGGAGCAAGAGAAGGAGGGATGGAGGGATGGAGGGGGCGTTGTCGCTGGGGGCAGATGAAAGAAGAGAGAGAAAGAGAGAGAGAGAGAAAGAGAGAAAAGGGAGTAAGCGACGGATTTGTGCTGAAGCCGCGCGAGACGTCAGACATGCGCAGCAGCGGCAGTAGCGTTGCGTTGTGGTTTCCGCTTTGGCTTTTGCTCTGTACGTGAACGGGAGAATCACGCAGAACCGAGACCCAGAGAAAGGGACCACAGACACACACCGCACCAGAGAGAGAGAGAGAGAGAGAGAGAGAGAGAGAGAGAGGAGGGAGGAACAACAACACAAAAAACCCTCACGGATCTAGCGTTTTTTTTTTCTCCGTCCAGCAAAACGTCGCGTCAACAGCCTCAGTCACTCACTCGGCATGGAGAAGCAGCGAGCCCGGGTGAAGATGTGAGATTTCTTCACACAAAAAATAAAAAAAATCTGCAAGAGCCAGAGGTGTTTGAGTCCTCTTTTTGAGTGAAAACTGAAGAGATTTGGCAAAAATGAAAAAGTTTAACATCAGGAAGGTGCTGGACGGTCTGAAGGAGGCGTCATCGTCCACTCCGACTGTCCAAGTAGGGCCACAGGAGAACCATCTCATCCCAGAGAGCCTCCAGTCTGAGCATTTCCAGCTCTGCAAGGTGGGTCCTACTAAAGCGCTTCATCAAACACACACACACACGCACACAAGCATACACACACACCCATATACACACACATACACTCATGCACACACTCATGCACACACACATACAAGTCCCTCCATCAACATCATTTCACCCAACCCCATCTGCACTGTGCCATGTGAGATACAGCAGGTGGGATTGACCTCCAAAAGCACTGTCTCCTTAGCTCAGCACTTCTGTCTCAAGCTCATTCACATTTCCCCACCTTCCCTCACATCCATTCATCAAGACTTGTCCATTGGATGCTGCTCACATATGTTTGTCCAGTGGAGGAGACATTTTTGTGCTACTGTGTACTGTATGTGGCGTGAAGTGCCCGATTGAAGGGGATGGGCCAGACCTGATCCCTTCTTGCATAATCTGCAGCTAGCCTTATATTAGCAAATCACTCTCTCCTCTCCATCAATGCTCGAGAGGCAGTGCTCCCAAATGCACAGAGGCAGGCTATGCACACATGTATCTTAACCCTCAGCTCAATGTATTGATCCTATGGGGAATAGTGGCGCCTCTGTGGGAGGGTAAAACGACTCTGCTTAGTACAATGAATAGGTTTAATAACATTGCAGCAATTTGCATGGCTTTTCATGCTCCAATAATACGGCAAATTTGGATTGCTCCCATGTGCCTCTTTAAGATAAGTGCCAATAAGGAATCATATGTAACAAATTCATGTTTTAAGATTTAGGAAACCGAACTAGATGATTACTTTTAGATATACAGTACTGCTATCAAGAGAATTCTGCTACTTCATGTGGACGTGTTGAGATATATTTATTTATCTATTTAACCAGGAGAACCTCATTGAGATTAATTATCTATTTTTAAAGAGTGTCCTGGACATGTTTTGTGTGTCATGCCATTTCCTGTGTTTTTAATGTGTTGCCCCTGGGATAAATGAAGTTGTCTGAATCTGAAAAAATCTTAATTAAATTCAGCAGAAGCTTGTCAACCAAAGATGCCACTATAAAGTTAACCATTTGTGACTCTGTATTTATATAGTGCCTTTTAGAGACAGAAAACTGACTTACTACTATTTAGTTTAATCTTTATTTGAGAAGGACCGTGCATAGCAACATTAAGCTCAAGGACAGATATGTTTTGCACAAGATTATAGACAGCTAGTTTCCATCTACAGTCTCCAGTTGGATGAAAATAACGATTATTTATTATTTTTTCATAGTTTTGTGTTGTGAAATTATTCCCCACTATTTATTTTGAAGCCTGAGCAATAGTGTTCTATTTCACTGTTGGGAATATTCTCAAGTTGCCTCCAAAATCTCTGAACTCTCCTTCTTGCTTTGGCACAACCGCTCGCATGCACCCACCAACTCCAAACTAATTAAACCTCTCCCTCACACCAATGCCTTGAAGTCGCTTGTTTACCTTGGGCCAGGGAAGTGTGTTTGTGGCGCTCTAGTCGAAGAAAGCAGGTGTCTCCGCTTCTCTAAGAGCTTCTTATGTAACCTGCTTTAGCCTTTCGCCACTAAGCAAACACGTCCATTGCCCTAGTCCTTAAGCAGACTATAGCCTCAAACCCCAGTGTCAAATGTCTGTCACAGCTGTATAGGAGAGAGAAGTACCTTCAACATAAAGCCTGCAAATGCCTTCTGCTCACCATTTCTATGTGTTTTGTTCCTTGATTTTATAGCCATCACGACTTCATGTGGGAGGAGAGGGAGAGAAACGCAGGGAGGAGAGGGAAAGTAGATGAAAAAAGAGTGAAATTACTCAAAATAGACCAATGAGCATAAAGCCAAGCCTAATGCCAAAAAAATAACAAACACATAATTTTGTTATCTTTGTGAATTCCCATTCCGATTTTTAGAACTTTTAAATTCATGCCATGGTCTGACTGTGCTACATTGTGGCCATGCCTGCCTGTGAAAGCCTGATCCTAGCTAAGCAGGGCAAGACCTGGTTAGTACTGTGAATGGGAGCTCTCTGGGAACACCAGGTGCCACAGTGGGGCGTCTGCGGTTGTGAAGGACTAAGGTTGTGTCCTCGTGCAAGACATTTGACCTTCGTTGCCTTGAGTGAGTTTAGTGTGAGTGTGTGTGTGTATGTATGTATGTATGTTTGTGTATGGTTGGTGGTGGTGGTCGGAGGAGCTGATGGCACAGATGAATAGACTTGCGTTCATCAGCTGTGTCTACAATTGTAGTTTAGATATGTAAAACAACACCAAAATCATACTTTTTTATTCATTGGCAAACAGTAAAGACTAGGGCTCCTCGAATTCTGAAACTATTAGAACTCCCAGAGAAGTCATTTTGATGACTCCCATTCAAGCCAATGAAATTCTGAAATATTTTCTAAAAAGGTTCCACCAGCTTTATTAGAAGTAATTTATAAAAAGTTTAGCTGTACTCATCTTTTATTATGTGCTAAAGCTTGACTATAACTAACTTTTTAATGGTGGAAAACAAGCTGACTCGGCTCAGAACCAGTCCAGGAACCAGTCTAGAACCAGTCCAGGACCCCACTCCCTTCTCTTTGTGGAGTGAGAGGACAAATGCCCATAATTGTAAAGTGCTTTGTGACTCTGGTCTGTGAAAGGCGCTATATAAATAAAGATTGTTTAGTTACTTACCAGGACCAGTCCAGGAACCAGTCCACGAACCAATCTAGAACCGGTCCATGAGCAGCACCTCGAGAAAAAGGTCTTTTAACTGCCGTAGAATAGAAATAAGATCACTTCTAACATTAGTAATACAAGAAATTAATCTAATAAAATTATGACACAGAAATAAAAAACCTTTAGATACAGAATATGTCACATTCTTCAAAAATACAAAAAATTGCACTTGAGCTGAGTCATTATGAATATGAAATTGAATGTGGATGTTGCTTTTCAGACTGTTCGTCATGGCTTCCCCTACCAACCCTCAGCTATGGCGTTCGACCCGGTGCAGAAGATCCTGGCCATAGGGACACAAAGTGGAGCTCTGAGAATGTATCCTTTGAGTTGTTCCCGGCTGTAACTCTGTGCTTTATCTTTATCCTTGATGACAGCACGAGGTAAGTGCGTGTAAAAGTCATCAAACCTGCCCAAAGTTACTATGAAACTGCATTTTTGAAGTGTAAAAATAGGCTGTTTGGAAGTGAGCGCTTGCTTTGTGTTTGCAATGTTGAATCGTTTTGCATTTGAACAGTGATATTAATCCTTTTTAGGCAAGGCAACGTTTATTGGTTTAGCACATTTCACAACTCAAAGTGCTTGATAAAACAAGAAAAGCAGCATTAAAATCACAATACATTAAACAAGAGTGAAGATGCAATACTTCAGTTGTATGCACAGCTGAACAGAACCGTTTTGAACCTGGATTTGAACAATGTCAGAGTAGAACCTGTCTGACATTTTCGGGAAGATTTTGGCTGCATGAATCTGAAACTCTGCCTCCCCGTGTTTAGTCCAGATCTTGTGGTCCTCAGAGGTCCGGTTTGCTTCATATGGCTCTAACAAAGACCTTATGCATCATCATGGAATCCATTTTTCATAGGATTTCTTGCACATGGATTTGCCGTTTCTTGGTTTCTTGAACACCTTCTAGTTTCTGCCATGCTGCTGTTTCATAATCTCCTGAAAATCCTGGGGTGCTTCATCATATAGCAGAACACTTTGAGGCATATCTCTGCGCAAAGTCAAACGGAGTTACCAAGATTTCAGAGTCTATCTTGTGTCTAATATAAGCGGGTGCGGTATGACGCTCCTTTGCAGTATGAGATGGTTTTACACAAACGGGAGACAACAGCTTGTGCTGGAATGACACTGCAGGGAGCCGTATAGCCTCCAATATAGCATCTCTGTGTGCGTATGTGTGTGTGTGTGTGTGTGTGTGCGAAACTGAGCTGATTTTACAGGTTCTCCATGTGTTCGCCTGCCAGTCCTGTTTTTCTCCCAGCTCGTTACTCTGTGATGAAGCCCTCAACTTGGCTCGCACCCGGCTATGACTCAGACATGATTACCTGGACCAAGGCCGCAAAAACGTGACATCTACTCCGAGATATATAATCCTGTTGGTGGCCCAAGATATTTCTCCAGCCCAAAGTGATCAGGAACAAACTTGCTTTATGGCGCAGTACCCATCACTTACTAAGATATAATGAGGAGCTTTCTGATCTGCATTTTGGAATTGCATTTTTGTATAGTTTAGGAATCGGGCTTTGTGTTTTTATGCAAAAGCTTTATTGGGACGTGCAATTCATGTGGAGAACAGAAGCCTATATTTGTTTTTTGTATTTATTTTGATCTCCATTAGCTGTTCAAATACAGCTATTCTTCCTGGAGTCAGGCAGAGTGCATGTCACAATCCTTTCTATATTGACTTATCGTTCAATAGTTGATGGATGAAACAATATACTGTATTGGGGCCTCAATGATTGTCTTCTGTACATTTTCTTTGCCATAGTCAGCAGATTTTTGCTATTCTCGTTGTAAAACAATGAGGTTTTAGCTGTTAGTGAGAATTGATTAGTTGATAACTGTGCTATTTAATTATTGTTTAATGATATGCTTTATTGTACTTGCGGCAGTGCCACTAAGACGTTTCAATATTAGCGTCTATCGCAATTATTTACTGAATCTTTTTATTGTTTGTCAAATTTAGCTATTGTGACAGCCCTACTCTGAGCCCATTTCAGAATACAATAGTCATCTTCACTAAAAACCCTTAATTTGAAGCTAAATCATGTGTTCGCACTTCACAGCTATAGTCAAGCCCTTGGATTTGTGTAGCCGTTAGCTTTGACTGAGGCTTGTGTGTATGTGGATAATGTGGCATTAATGCTGCTGGGTGCCATCTTTCTTGCGCTCCACTTGAAGATCTTGCAGTAGTCTGTCTGATGTTGGATGAGAGAACCAATCAGCTTGTGTTGTCTCCAGGGCTTTGAGTGAGAGGATCTAGAAGGCTGGTCACTTTGAGTGGAAGAGTAGGAGCTTTTCTGCTGTTTGACTGATGTGGATCAGATGGAGCCTTATCACAGTCAGAGCAAGGTGAATTTCAAACACTGTTCTTTTATTCTTTCCCTGTGACATTGAGATAAGCCTATGTACATGCATCTGTTGATTCAGGCAGATAGAATGGTAATGGCCTCTTAGTCATCTATTTGGGAAAGACGGACATTCCTCAGTCAGTGGCTCAGATCTCTAGTCGCGACCCAAGAAAGGACATGTTTTACCGTAAGGCTTTGCTGTTAATTTATTGTACAATCAGTTATTGCTCAATTCATAAAAACTTTCATGCTAAACACTTAATGCTAAAACATATCTACTTTCCGTGCGAGAGATTTGCTGGTTCGACTCTGGAGCAAATACTGTACTTTTAACGGACAATATGTGAGATTTTAATTTTAGAATTTCATCTACGTCTTCAATCTGTGTCCCGGACACATGGTCAACAACTACTAATTATATAAGGCCTTTCCTTATCATGAAAAGAAACCTAATGACCACATTATTTACTATATGACTTAGGATTGTATTAGTTGTAGTTGTATGGTCGATTGATTGGCCGAAAATTTGATTTATTATTTGACTGATTTTTTGATTTGACCATACTGGTAAAATGGACCTTGTTCACTTCAGAAGCAAATGCAACGTCATCATTAAACAGTTTGATAAGAAATTACTAGTGTGCAATTTTGGTGGATTAAGCATTTGAAGCATTGAAATTAAGCATTATTTCCCCATTTGGCTCAGGGTCATTTTGGTCGAACTGTGAACACATCCGTAAGTCTAAGTCTTAAGCGCTTTTGGGCTTAGAACGTTCTTCTAATGAGACATAGAGTGCCCAATCATGTTTTGGCTGTAATGTTAGTGTATGCAATACTAGTGTAATGGAGCTAGTACACTACCACATGTTAATAAGAGACACCTCTACAGTCTACAGTAGAAACATGTTAGGTAAATAAACAAGCAGTACTAGCTTCTTTACACTTTGTTTTTGTTTTACTAGAATGACTTTCAGGTCTTTCTTCTTTTACCACTTAACTGTGAATAGTTTTGCTTTGCTCTCGCACCATTCGCAGCAGACTGCACCATTTATCTGCTGGCAGCGTGGCAAAAGATTGAAAATTACAGCCGCTGCACCATTGACAGTGTGCGGATATCTGTCAGCCACATCCTCTGAAGAGCAGCCAACCCCTCCAGCCAAAAAGCCAATGAGTCGTCTGATCCCTTCCAAAGTGTCCCATGCGAGCCGCCCCGCCATCATACAGCTGCCGTCCCTATGCCGGGGTCTGCAGCGGGGCCAGACAGAGGAGCAGTCACTGGCTCTAGCTGCGGGCAGGTTTTTCCCTCCCCACTCCAGATCTAAAGGCTGAGAATAGCAAGGGTTATTGATCTGTGTGTGCTAATGCAGTGAGACAGGAGCAAACCACCGCCGATTGTTTTCTGAAAATATCTCGCTGGTAAAAATGGGCTTTGTGGTGGGAAAAAACAAGTTTGTGATTCAAGTGCAAGAGCAATTTTGTGAATAAGTGGTGTTATCTAATTTGTGCTACAGGGAGGAGTGTTGTTGGCTGAGGCGATTGGTTATAAGAATAGAAATGTGGTGCTGTGGGAGACAAATGGCAAAATATTGATGGAAGCGATGTTTAACGTACATTAATTTGCGATAACAAACCAATACATGTATATATGCAGCAGTACCTTGTGGTAGAGGCTAGTATGAATATTTGGCTGGGGCTTTTATGTGTAGTTTTCAAATGATAAATACAAAGGCTGTCTAAATTGCAATTTGGAATGAGACTTCAAACCACAACGCATTTTTTTCTGATTTTGGATGTTTCCTTCGCTCAGCTGGCCTGGGATTCTCCTGGATGAGCTGGAGGAATGGAGCAAAAAAAATAAAAAATACAGATATTCAAACCGCCGCAGTTGGATACTTTACTAGAACCAGGAAGTTTGATCATATTAGTCCAGTTCTCGGGTCTCTAGACTTTGAAGCAATCTCTCCATGGCCTCAGTGACATGTTGGTGCCATATGAACCAACTCTGACTCTGAGGAGAACAGGGACTGGCCTCCTTCTGCTGCCAAGTCAGGACTAAACATGAGAAGGTAGCGTTTTAATTTTTGGCAGCTAAAATTTGGAACAGTCTTCCTGAATATGAAAGACAGGCTTCTTTGCTTTAGCAACTTGAGGATTGTATCTTCACACTTTTTATCGCACCGTGATTATCCATGCCATGCGTGATTTCATTTGTTTCTTTTCTTGTTTTGTAACTCAAGTTTGAGTTGCCTTGTGTATGAATAAATCAAGCAGGAAGAAGCCATGTGACGAAAAGACAACTGCTTAAATCAAACTATTGGTCCCTGTACTTGTATTCAAATTAAGAGATACTTTATTTAATTATAACAGGATGCACTGTGTTTGGTCCCTTTCACTACAGACTGACTCCTTCACTGGTCTTACAGCTCCACCGTAAATCTTTAGCTCATCCCACAGGAGCGAGACCCAAATCAATACATCAAATTGTTGCTGTATGTGCCACGAGATTATCTCCACCTCACAGCCATCATTCAAATCGGGCATTTTTTAACTGGGCATGGGACTGACACAGCTTATTATCTATTATCTTGAACTTGCAGTGACCTTGTGCACAGATGTGAAACATACGATTGCTGTGGTACCCAGCAGCAGTTTATGTATCCTCAGTGTGGCTGCCTACAATGTGCAGCATTCATCTTTGTCAACAAATATGGTTCTGAATTCCAATTCATTTGAAGATCTCCCAGTGGAGGTGGCTGTTCAAACAGCCCTGGGTAATGCAACAGTGTGACAGGATTAGCAATAAACCAAGTTTTCTATAAAGGATTTTTCCTGAGGTCTTTTCAAGTAATCATTGAACTGATCCACTACAACCGCCACACAACCACTGCAGCTACTACTGTTGTTGCAGTGGTATCTCTACTCTCCCTGACAAGCACTAATGACAACGCTCCACTCATTTAGGATAAGATCATAGTGGGTTCAAACTTTCTGCATTTAATTCTGCTGTGTCTGTGTGAGGGTTGGTTTAAGCACTCATTTTGTTGTGCCAGATGGTGTCTTTAAAAGTAATCTGTTGTACAGTGAGGTCACTGAAGAGATGCTAAGATTGGACTTCCATGCAAGTCCAAATTATAAACAAGGAATAGAATGTAATAATGTGAACATTTTTTATAAAGGAGCCGCACTATACATTTAAAAGCGCCTGTTTTTTCTGCTGCTCATGAAGGTAAAGGGGCCAATTAATCGTGATTAATATAAGTCTCAAATTAATGAATAATTTTGTTTACATTCTGTATTTGCAATGCAGAAATGATTAATTTAGAAATGATTAATTATTGCATTATGTTTTGAAGTGGGTGCTTTGTGTACTCGTACATATTAAACATTCATCCATTATAAGGAATAGTGGGGGAAAAGATTTGTTTTTTTAAATGCTAAATTATAACTGTATGGCCTACACATATAGATCGAATAGCTGCTGTTTTGGAGCAAAAATGGGCATTTGTTATGATGGGGTGACCTTCTCCTCGTAGAAGGGGCAAATGTCAAGCTAAGGCAAGCTGGAGTTGAGCATTGACTTAGTGTGTTACTATTGTGGTAACATTTTCCATCTATGTACAGTCCAGAGTTGGTTGTCCCCTCCTTCAACAGCAGCTCAGGCTCTATGTATCACATGCTTAAAAAACCCTCATCCTGTAGGGGTGTGACGATAGCGATACTTTCTCCCGCGATTCGATTATCGATATGCATTTGCCAAGTATCTATCGATTTAAACATTTTTTTGTACAATTCTTTTTTTTTTGAATTGGTATCAATACTTAATATATGGCTACATTACGCATCTCCATTCTATTTATTATGAAATAAAGAGTAATTTTTCTTTTATTTATGCCATAAATTGGCATATTGTATATTTCTGACCAATATATCAATAATCGTCATATTGTGATAAAATCGTTATCGTGATAAAATCGTATCGTATCGTATCGTGAGGTACCCTTAGGTTCCCACCCCTATCATCCTGTGTTGGGCTTGATTTTCAAAGTCTTTGCAGTGACTTCTTGGACTGTTGCATTGTCCCCACTTTTCTGACAGCGTGTCCGGCTTAATGTCCTTTAGCCCGCCAGGCTCCAGCGGGATAGGATTTGAAACGATTAAAGGTGCCATGTTAGTTCCCCTCTCTAAATTACCCCAAATCTGACTTTGCCTGTCACTCTATCCGCAAAAGCTTGCTTTTGCAATCTGTCTTGTGATAGTTTCACTTCCACTGGCTTGTTCATGGAAAGGGTCAGAATGTAGCAAAACAAAAAAAACAGTTGAGTTTGTGCACATTCTCCCGACAGTGACTCATCCCAATTTAAAAGGCCGAACAATGCCGATGCCGGCGAGAAAGCAATGTCATCGGAGGACAAGGAGTCTTTATGCCTCTGGCCAATGTAACTCAGAGCTGCTGTTTGGGACCAAAACTGTGGATATGACTTTTCTATTGGGTTAGGATTGCCTTTGGTAATTATTTAACAAGCGCATGTCTCAAGGAAAATATAAATACATATTTACAATGATTTTATTTTGAATGACCATCATTTTGAAAAATATTACTTGTTGCATCAGCGGGTTGATGGGGTTCTCCATCAACCCCCTGAAATATCAGGCTATGATATTTGCAGCCCTATTGTCCAATTAAAGGAATTCTGGTTACATCATTTACCAAATAATCTATTCACAAAGCCAGTTAATTTCAGGGTTTCAACTCTTTCCCCCTCTTGCAAAGAACTACTTGTTATTTTAGCTGAAGTATCCATATTTTTCCTTTCTAAGAGGAAGACCCATTGAGTTGCTTTTGGTTCTTTGTAAATTTCCGAGCCATTCGTTAATGAAGGGTTATATTTGACTTCAGAGTGCCTTTTGCCTTTTTCCATCACTGCATTCTCCACAGAGCACCTGACCATTCATACAGACAAAGATCTGTGAAGCGCTCCCTCCATCTGAGTTTTACCCTGATTTCTTCTTTGTATGATTTCAACCATTTTAACTTACCCAGGTGTCAGTCACAGCGATCCCATTGTGTAGTGCTGCAATCGGGTCTCCTCTCTCCCCGTTCATAGAGCTCATTGTACGGGGCCGTGGTGTGGTGAGTGTGATACCGCAGTCTATGCCTGAGAGGTCAGCAACCTGCGCTGTAATTATTCCCAGCAGACGGCATGCAACGCTTGAGTGGCTCATTGTAAACAGCCGGTGTCATGTGGGCTGTGCAGAATGAATGGCTACAGGTTTCTAGGTTCTCCAAGACACTACTAATGGCTGTGATGCATGAGGAGATATTAACATGCACTTGATAAGTTTGAAAAAGGTGCACAGGTTGTATGTTTGAGTACCGACATAACCCCATGTATTTGACATTGTATTGTATTTAAGTGTTGTAGCTGTCCGGCCCTTACCTGATGCTCAAAGAAAGTAAAATATTGTGGTGAGGTCTTACAGTTGGATTAAGAGATCCTGTATTTGTCCTACTGTGGGGAAATTTCAGTGTTGCCTCACCAGTGACAGAACTGTAGGAATAAGTAGCACACAGCACAAGATAAATGAACATTAATTCTATACTAAATACAATAAAAATCTCTAACCTTAGCATGAAGAAGAAAAGTATTAAATCTCTATCTTTTGCACAATGAGTACAAAAAACTCTGACTTTAGCAGAATAAAGACGTGTAAAATTGATACTTAAATAGATAAATTGGAAACCACATCTGCTGCTATGGTGCTGCAGTCTCTCTCTTTGAAGCAGTGCTTGTCATTGTAATTAAAAAAACAAGGGAAAGGACTGTGGAAGGCTGCAGCGTGTGGTCAAAAATGCACCTCCCATCCTCCTGTTCCAAAGCACATAGAATATTGGTGCCCATTCAAAGTTGTGGTTTCGTTTCCTATCACCGTGTAGCTTGTGTGTGCCCAAGACGATGGGTGATATCACTGGAATGTTATCTGTACAGACAGTGATGGACAGCATAAAGACGTTCCTTGAATTATAGATAAACTTACTGTGCCAAAGTGCACTTGTTTTTGAGATAACTCTTGTTTCAGGCTGTATGCATAACTCTACTCCATCAACTGAAATTTACACTGCTAATGCTTCTCAAGAGCACAGTGTCTGGTACACCATCACAAATGTACACTGATTACAAGACTTAATTTCCGTTGAGCGTATAACTGACTGAGCTTTAGGAGCGTATAAATGTACCCACTCACATTAATTTGGGAGAAACTTCATCCAATAGATGCATGTTTATTGACAACTTCCTGCTCATCCTTAAGTGAGCTGCGCAATCACATTGACACCCATTGTCTAGGATTTATGATGAGCTTTATGAGCGACTTGGCCTTCTTTCTCAACACGCTGCACATGTACCTTGTAGTCTAGCACTTTGACTTGTATTAGTCGTGGTCAATATGGTGCAAGTGTAGACACACATGTCCTTTGGAACTATAGTTAATGCCATTGCCTATCTAGTAGCAGTGAACCAATAATGGAGGTATCTACACTCTAAAGTAATAAACATACATAAGTACTATGGCATGCTTCTGCTATTACCACTCCCATTTCTGTCACTGGGTAGTACTACTAGTGTTGGTTGCAGACAGAAAGATAGACAAACATTCAACCAAAAGGCTTTCCAGTTAGTTTTGTAATAAGTCAGAGGTTCTATTGATTATTCTTATGGCAGAGGGAATGAAACTCTTGGCGAATCTTGGAACCTTGGCTGGCAGTGACCTGTAGCGCCTCCCTGAGGGCATCAGAGTGAGCAGCGGATGTAGTGGGTGTGAGGGGGCAGAGGGGATCTTGTGGGCTCTTTCTGTGAGGCCGCGTTGGTGGAGTCCATTTATGGAAGCAGGGGTCAACCGGTGATCCGGAATTCATCAATGATGCGCTGTGGTTTTTTTTGTTTTTTGTTTTACCTGAATATGTCCAAATTTAGATGAGTATTGAAAAGATTGTGCTCTGGATGCCTTTAGTGTCATTTTTAGTGGGGTTTCCATTATGAATACATAGGATTTAAGTCTGAGGCTGACACATGGTCGATCGACAGGTGACTGAAGTTTGAATGCCTTAACGTATGTCTCTGTATGTTATAGCCTTTGTATTTTTTTGTCTTTATTTGTTTATGTACGGACCAACTTTCACATTTTATTTTTATGGATGTCATCTCCTCCACACCTTGCAGGGACTACAGTTGAAAACCAGCTTTGTGGCTAACACCGTCTCTTTTCTACAGAAATGTTCGCAAATGTGCAAGTGTGCCTGTTTGAACATATCGGTCGATCTCTCGTCTGGTCTGGATGTACACTGAAAGCACATGTGACAGAATCGCATCAACCAACCATTGTCTTGCTAAAAAAGACATTGCATTGTCTTTTTTAGCAAGACAATGCAATGTCAGAACTGGCCGGAGACACTCTAAGGGTTTGAAATGAAAAGTGGTGTTCGAAAGGGAAACCACAGAGGAAGCCACGTCTGAGTATTGATTTTTCAAGTCTCTTCAGCCACCCTGCCTGCATGGATGTGGTCTCTCCCTTACCGCCCCTGTCCCGCTCGCCGCAGTTGTGTCTTTTGCAGCATATTTGACACCCGTTTGGTTTTGCTTCTGCGCTGCTGAGGCGAGGGCAGAAGGCTTTCCTGAGTGTAACATTGGCTGTCAGGTCGCCACACTCCCCGGTGAGCTTGTAAGGCCCTGACTTCTGCACAAAGATTTTGTCATCCCAATTCTCCCTGTGCCCTTCACGTGACCTCCAGGACTCCATGGGGCTTTGTCTCCAAATGCAACACATCCAATCTCCCTATATATGCGCATTTCTGTGTTTGATTATAATGGTCTGTGGTAAAGGAAACCTAAAGTGCCCCCTGCAGTTTCTCCCCTGCTCATTATTTTTGACTAGCTACTGCAAATAATTGTCTGTTTGTTTCCCATGAGCCATCGCGTCCTCCGCTCTGCTCAGTTTCATGCTTTTTCGAGCTTTTGTTTTGTAACCTTGACATTGTAGGAGCATTCATACAGTTGAATCGTGGCTGGCTGTTGGCCTAAACAAATTAAACAATACTTTTCTTGTCTTGTGTTAAAACATAGTTGACATTGTGTGAAGGAATCGGATATAGATGTGTATCCCATGATTCAATAAACACCTATGAAATTCAGGTGTTTATTGAATTGGTATTTTGTCAGCTGTGGAATGATTTAATTTCTGGATAAAGGTGAAAGTTTACCTGTGGGCCTGTGTAGAAATCAAACAAAAGCTGAAATATCACGAGACAAATTTCATTATTTGCACCAGCCCTACTCAATTCTACTCTACTCGCCTCTACTCTACCTAGTTATGTTTCCATTACACTTTAGGTATCATATCCAAGTCACAACTAACCACTATCCAAGGACATTCCTTGGTTACCATGGCTTCCAACAGCCCTTTGGCCGAACACTTGAGTTCCAGCTTGGCCTGTACCGGGGTAGAGTGGAACCGAGTACAACCGGTAGAGTACAACTGAGTGACTATTGTAAGACTGGTGGAAATGGGGGCTATTGCGAGTATCAAAAGTTTTAATGAAGTATTGGAGCAGATGTTTGGCATTCATTAAAAACTAATGCGTTTCGTAGAAAGGACTGTCAAAAGTAATTGTAAGTAGAAATGTCAAAACTACTGGCGTACTTTTTCAACTGTGCACATGTCATACTAAACCAAATCCATAATGCATTTTACTGCTGGGAACCTTTTACATTATCCAAAACTTTAATAGTTCCTGGTTTCGGTACCGGCTCCTTTTACCGTAGTAAACATTATCAAGAATATAAATCAAGGTTTTCACTGTAGATGAATGCCATTAAACCACTTTCATCATTTATGAGGCAGAGCTTCCCAATAACTCATTTTAACTTTCAGATACTCTTCAGAATATATTCATGTTTGTAGTTTTTGGTCCAGCGGAAAACAGCTGACGGTACATTTCGGGTTGGGGTTATTTGTAGTAAAATGGTGACTTTCTGTTCAGTTTTTACAGATTCCGGGCCAGTTAGGAGTCTTCCCATGACCTTTCTCTTATCTTTTACTAATATTTACACAGCAGTTGGCTCTTGGATGTGGCGCACAGCTGGGAATGGGACGATTCGACTTTTAGCATGTTTAGCATGTTTCTCTGATCAGACTTCCCAGTATGATCCAAGTCTTGAGCGGTCCTCTTATTAGAAAATGTCTCAATTTTCCAAAATACATTAATATCAAATTGTTGTCAAAATTATTGTATATATTGTATGATAAATCTCAAGTTATTGTCAGGAGAACCTTCTGATTCCCCTTTGCACTGGCTCTGAGGTCTCGACTTTCGGAAACGCTCGACATTACTGTAAATATGATTTCAGGTACTTCAAGCTAGTTCTGCTTGAGGTAATTAAGCAGTTCTAGCTTCATTCCACTCTTGTCTTCTATTTGCTCAAAGCCTTAAACATATAGAAGATATAATTAACCTTTTACATTTTAGAATATGTAAACGTTAGCTCTAGAGTCCCTCCCTGTGGCCTGTGACCATCCTTGCCGCATGTTGCTCCACTATTGTGTCCTTTTTAGTGCAGTATCCCACACACCAGCAGATACACACACACATACACTCTCTCATGCAGAGGGATGTGATGACACCTCCCCCTTAGCAGCAGGAGCTTCTGTTTACCTGGCCATCATGTTTATATTGTACTTGTGTCTCTGTGTGTCTGTGTGTGTGTGTGTGTGTGACCAAGCGACACAGGGCTGAATGAGACGTGTGAGGTGATAGGACTTATACTTGTCACGTGTGCAAGCAGACAAGGACAAAGCAGCACACTGTATACTGTCGCTGGCTTTTAGCATCAGATGCTACTCTGCAAACAAGAAGGCAAAATGTGATGTATTTTAAAACATATTCTCAGCAGAAGCCCCAGCAGGCAGTGGTTGCTCTCGTCTTGTCATATTCTTTCAAATATTTATACTTACAGATTGTTCTTGGTGCCAACATCACTGTTCAGGACCAAATGTTCATGCACTCTGCTGTATGAATAAATGAGACATTTTTCTGAATTGAATTTGGGATTTCATAGACTAATGCAAATATCTCGGTAGTGACTTGATTTATCTTAATGCATCATAAGAATACTTTGATGACTATTATCTCAACATTGTATTTATCTCAATAGCATTAAAGGCGCTATACCTGTTTCTGCAAGGTTTGATTGTTTAGAACCGCCCCCCAACTCGCTCAGAGGCTTCTCATTTCCCCTACGCTCTCATCCCACGGAGCCATCTAGTTTTATTTGCGATCTATATGCAAACATTAGCATGAGCGCAACTTCGTGTAAGCTGTACAACAATCACTGATGAAATGGTACAAAAGCAGCACACTGCTAACAAATATATAACTGAAAGATTATCGCGAGTTTCGCGTCCAAATGTAGTCCGAGCATAGATAGACAAGTCTTTCCAGGGGATTTAATGTAAGCTATCTATGTTCACCCGGGCTTGATTTCTTCTTTGATCATTTTTTCGCTTTAGTTCCCTCTTCTCTTCCTCACTGTTGTGTCGTTTGGGCTGTTTTGCTGTGTCTGCAGTTACAGCAAGAGGAGTTATAACCAATTCTGCTAACATGCTACTGTGTTTAGCAGTGCTGTAGAAGCTAGAGCCTCGTTCTGTGAGTGGAGAAGAACGACCGTCACTCTAAAGTTTCTACTCAGCACTTTATACAGCTGAATTATATAAGCTGAATCAATGAGCTCAAGTTTTCCATTAAATTACGGATTATAATACAACTTGTTTGTAGTAATAAGCATTTTTATGTACTCCTTAAAAAAAAAAATACATTCCATGCTGTCAGCATATTTACTGTGCAACTCAACCAAGTGCAGACATAAACCTAATACCTTCTATAAACACTTATGTACAGTTTATACATATGACCTATATCCCCCAAAAGTTTGACATGTGATTGACTGACCTGTATTTTGATGCATCTCACTATTTTACCAACTGCAATTGTGGAATCTGACCTGTATGTCTTTAACTTTAAACTCCTGTTATCTGTGTTACTACTAAACATTATCTCAAGAAGTGAACGTCTTCGCTCTGACTCACATTGCTAACAAATATCTATATATTAGGAATCAGCGGCATTTATATCTCAAGGATGGTGTCGCTGTTCTTACTCACATTGATGTACACCCTATAGAAAGCTTTGTCTTCTTTTGTTCTATCTGGAAGAACTCAAATAAACAACAAATGTGAGAGGTCGCTGCTGCCTTTAGTCAAATTTGTTCACAGATGACCTAGTATCCGATTGCATGTACTTTACATTACAAAACCTGGGGCTATGGCAAAATTCCCTCACTCTGTATGTCCTTGGTTTGTCATTCAGAGCCTCTGGGCCATATATCGCTGCTGCTACAGGAGACGGAAGGAACAGAAAACAGATTGATGAAGTTTAGAGGAAATAGTGGAGATTGCACATATGGTGAGATGCCTGCATTGATTTTCTATGAGTATGATGATGAAACGATTGAACCACAGATTAGTTTGTTGCATATAGGCTGAGTCGTAGAGATGCGGTCATAGATGCACAATTGTAGTGGGTGGAGTTTGATTTGAAGACAAAGGGAAAAGACGACATGCAGTGTCTGGCTCCATCTCGGTCAGTATCCAACCGCTAGAGCGTTGTGTGTTTTGTCTCTGCCAGATCCTCGTACCCCACAATGCACTGCAGGAGGAGTGTGCACCAGCTCTTTCTGCTGATTCATAACGGGGACAGTGTGTGTGAAATAAAGCGCTACAGTGACAGAGCAAACGCGGCCTGTAGTGCGTTTGATAAGTCAGAGCCCTGTCAAAGATTGTGCTGCTGTATGCAACTAAAGAACAAGAATGTGACTTTGTACTTTTAAGTATGGTCTTTGTAACAATCCTAGTATCCGGTGTGTATGCAAAACAATGAAGTAACATCATACAGTTCGCAGGCTACTTGATATGTAACTGAGAGACATGGGTGATTGAAAAAAAAATAAAAATTATTCCTGATGCCTGCTCTTATTAGTCAAGTTAACTGCTCAGTTTCATTTAATTCCTGCCACTAGCTTAGGCATCGCAGACACATAGAAACTGCTTGTTGGAGAACCTAGAAGAACAATAGGCAAAGATGGATCTAGACCAAGCCATACGTTTTGTGTTCCCTTGTGTTCCCCAAAGATTGTGGATTTTAAGACAGAACATCGAGCAAGTTTGAAGATTGTCAGAAGCTATTGCCCTGATTCCCAACATGCATCACAATCAAACGGCAGCGATTGGTGAAAGCCAAAAGGTACCTGCCCGTTCTGGAGCAAACTAATCATAACATACGCTCTTGTGGGAGCAGAGGGAATACATGTGTGATCAAATGTAAATAGCTTGCAAAAAAGGTAAAAATACATAAAAAGAGATATTAGATAGACCAAAAATCTGTCGTGTCACTTCTCACAGTTTGGCCGATCTCTTGAATGAAGGCTAATCTGTAATCTATCTGTAAGTTGAAATCTCCTGTGTTTTAACATTAGACACAAAATGTCTAATGTCTAAAACGTGTTGTGTGCCTACACGTTGCTTGACTTTGATTTAAGAGATCCTTTATTTGTCCCACAGCGGTGAAATTAAGCAGCAGTGCTATAGCTAACCACTGAGTGAAGGAAATGTAAGGGCTGAATTGAAAACTTCTGATGTGGGAGTGTAAAGGAAGGAAGGTCCGCACCGCTATCACTTCCCTGTGGTGC